TGTCTTTGAACTAATGATTGGTACTGAAATAAAGAATGCAAACACATAAAAGATTGTAGGCTTTTCAATGCTTATTCAGTGTTAAACCCTTTTTGATTTGGCATTGGTTTTTTCAATCTTGCTATGAATATGTTGATGTGTGAATTCATAACTGCTTTGAGTGAATGGAAAATTTAAAAATTATAAACCTCAATCTTAAGCGAGGAATAAGTAATGAAAACTGAATAGAAAAAAATTGTTGATTTAATATTGAAAATGATTTCACACTTACACAGCTCTGTCTTCAACATGCTGGATGGGAGGGCAAGGGACAGTCTGACAAAGCATCCTTACAAATGTGTCGATTCAGACGAGGAAGTTGTTTAATTACTAATGCACTTCAATTTTGCATACTCATAATTGTTTTATTTTTTTTATATTTAGCGGAAACTTATAAAAGTAAAACATGCAGTCGTCATAGCAGCAGTAATTTGAAAGTGGCCAGAGAACGCCAGCAGTTACTTGAAAGCAACTTTTGAAAAGATCTACAATATAAGTCGAAAAGTTGTAACGAAACTGAATTTTTGTGAACCAGTATAACTGATTTGCAACTGTTAATATATATCAAAATAAAGGAAAATTGATTACCTTTCTGTCGGCTATAATATTGCTAAAATCGCTTAAATTTTGTATGGAAATTTTGCAGCTTTTGAAAACATCTATATATAAGTCGAAAAAACGCAATCAAACTTTGCATAGTTGTAATGAAACTGAATTTTTGTGAACCAATATAAATGATTTGCATCTGTTAATATATATCAAAAGAAAGATAAATCGATTACCTTTCATTTGATTATAATATTGTTAAAATCGCTAAACTTTCTTACAGAAATTTTACAACTTTTGAAAATATTATATATAAAATTTTGCAAATTTGTCATAAAATTGAATTTTTGTGAACCTCTATAAATAATTTGCTCTGTTAATATATATCAAAAGAAAGGTAAATCAATTACCTTTCTTTTGATTATAATATTATTAACATCGCTTAACTTTTTTATAGAAATTTTGAAACTTTTGAAAACATCTATGTGCAAATGAGTAATACTAATAATAAGAAATTAAACAACCACAAATGTGTGTATGTAAAAATATATTTATTAATGTTAATTACAATTTTTATTCATAATATTGATTATTAATTATATATATTAGGTAAACAATGCATTTTGAAAATAAATTTTGCAAAATAAAAATCAAAAAATTTTAGGATTTTTTATTTAAAAAGTTTCTAAGGTTATTTTGAATTCGCTGTGAACAAAATGCAACCCAGCGCCGGCTGAAGGGGGTAATGCTAGACGAGTGCAGCTATGTATATGTTTTCCTTACGAATTATCTGAATGAGTACGAGATTGATGCAAGGCTCACACGTACAGGGGGAAAGTGGTGACAATCTGCACAGCGCCCATACAAATGTCACCAGTTTTGTTACCAGTTTTCAAGTGACCGAAACCCGCGGTTTCACCAGATTTGTCACTACTTATGGCTGGCAGAGCAGTGATTGAGACAATTGGAAAATAATGCAAGGATTAGTGAAAAAGTGTGCATGTATTGCTATTGTCATGACAGTATTGTCCGGGTAAACACTAATACGGCTTTCCCACGCCACCCCAATTACGTATTTCGCTCTCTCATTCGTAATTCGCAATCCCATTATCATGCGAATCAGGGTGTCCAGATTGTTTAAAAAGAAGAGACATTTATTTATTTAAGAAATGAGGTTGTACCTGTAAACTCAGTCTTTTGTAGTACATAAACAGCTTTCAATTACAAAACGCAATCGTCTGATACAGACTAATCTTAAATCTAATGTAAAAATATAATTGCAATACATTTTAATACAAACAGTTATCTTAAACTTAAAATTAAAAAAATTAAGAAAATTAAATTAAAAAATAATATTAAGATTGAATAGTAGTCGTTAAATAGTCAGTCATTGCAGTTGGGAAACCCAAAAATAAAAACACAAAGAAGAAAGGAAAAACAAAAAATAGATAGAGAAATAAATAGGGAAAAGAGAACTGTTAAATTGCAATCACACTTATCGCACAGAGGTGAAATACTTGTGTATTACTTTCTTGTAGTTGTTCCTATTCAACGCAGCTTTCATGGTATCAAGAATGGAATTCCACAGCCTCACAGCATTAACATAAAATAGCCGAGATGAGGGCAAATAGGAAAATTTAGGGAAATCAGATTTTGATGCCTAGAAGACTTAGGTAATTCTAACCTGTAAATATATATACAGTCTCTGGCCGAAAGATATTCAAAAATGCTGCATCCAAGAATTTTGTTTTTCCAGAAAGAGATGTGGTCATATTTTGTGAGGCCATAAACGTAACGCGTAACACTATTGAACGCAACATCAATTTTGTGATACGAAGTAAAATCAAGTTGAATAGCTAGCTTTCTTCTAGTCTCTAAAAGCGTAAAAGAAGCTGACATTCTCAATGTACGTACAAAAAAAAATACATTTCTAACAACTTTATTTATATGGACAGAGCAGCTCAACATAGAGTTAACAACGAAGCCTAGTTTCTAAGTTTGTCTGTAAACGTAAGGATACTATTACTAACAAACATTTTTGGAATATCTTCAACATGTACAACTTTGTTACTAACGGGTAACAGATATGACTTCACAGCATTTACGCAAAGACAATTATCACGTGCCCATTGCGATATTGCAGACAAGTCACTATTTATTTTATAACACAAATCCTCAACAAGACAAGGCTAGACAAATACAATTGAATGTCGTCAGCATAGGCATGAACATTAACCTACTTACACACAGAAAAAACATCATAGACAAAGAGACTAAACAAAAGGGGACCTAGCACGGAGCCTTACGGCACACCGGAGGCAACAATACAAGATTTGGATGAGGCAGATTTGCACATCACCTTTTGACTTCTTCCCGCGAGGTAGCTGGTCATAAGCTTAAGAGAGCTATCAGAGAATCCAAAATAATATTTAAGCTTTGTACAAAGCAGGTCATGATTTACTAAGTCAAATGCCTTAGTAAAATCAAGAAGGCAGAGAAGAGTTAAGTCACCATTGTCAAACTGTATTTTCAACATAGCCGTAAAGCAGCTATGATAAGGTCTAAATCCTGACTGAAACGGAGATAAAAGATTATTTTCTTGAACGAATGATGAAATTTGCTCTGCCATCAAAGACGCACACACATTTGAGAATACTGGAAAAATGCTAATTGGCCTGTAGTCGCTAGGTTCAGAGGCGGTATTCTTTTTGGCGACAGGAATAATCACAGCTTTTTTCCACTCCGTTGGAAAACACGAAGTTGTGAAGCATTGATTCATTATATGTGTGAGAGTTCCTAGAATAAATGGCAGCACAAGTTTCACAAAATGTAAGGATATATCATCCTCAGCAATAGCATTAGACTTGACGCTCATAATTGAGTAGTCCACTTGCAAAGTGCGCTATGTAAAATTTTTTCGATTTTTAGTTTTTGGTGGTATTTAAAGTAGTTTCATGTGCTCTAACAACAGAGTGCAAAATCTTTTTATATTCTGAAAAAATAGCATCAAGCGTTAAGTCTTCTTCCAAAAGTCGCTGTCATACTTATTTATAAACTTTCAAAAGTATCCATCTTCTGATGAACTTAGAAAACTGCTTTAGGTCGTATAGACTGTTAATGTTATGTTGCAATTTTATAAGGCTCTTATTTATCCAAATTTTCAGGTAATAATAAAAAAAAATTAATTTAAATGTTACTTGTGGTCGTAGTCGTTTTTTCAAATTTATGGCTTTCTATTATAAAATCACATAACGCTGTTTGCAACTACTCAATTGACTTCATAACGTCTGCTTCTGTAACTCCATTAAATTGAAACTTTTATCTCAATGCAAAATGGCTATTGCCGTTTTGAGCTAGAGAACTGTCGCGGCTTTTGCAGGCATTATTAAAATATTCCATGTAGGGAAAGCTACCAGTTGTGAACCAGAATGCTACCAGTTTGCGTTTCAGCCCAACTAGTTCACGTTGTATCCTTTTTCAATGTTAGCGACTGGTATTTTTAACATGGCGGTGTCATAGGAGATGCCAATTGTCCGCTCCTGCATCAGCACGCTACTAGTAGAAACACTAGTAGCATCATACCAGTTGACGGGATAGACTGCCTATTCATCCCCCGTGAAAAGCATAAGTAGAGCATTTTGCTCGCGGCGCTGCAACAGTGGCAATGGTCGACAGAGTAAAGCTTTGGCACGCCAAATCAAGAGATCCGAGTTCGAATCTCAGTGAGCGAATCTTTTTTTTATTTTTGTTTTTTTTTTGTAAATTTGTTTATTTTTTATTTATATCTCTTGTGTAATTTTTAAATTTATTGTTTTAAAAATAACAAAAAATTATTTATTTTCATTATTTATGGTATTTCAGTATTTAGATTTTTTCCAAATCAAATTAAATTCATGTACAATATTTATTTTATATTTAAATTTAAATTTGAAATAATTATTTAAATTAATTTACTTACTTTACTTTAACAACCTTCACGCACACTTGAACCTGAGATCTCAGAACAGAATCGGTAGTCTCCACTCGACGCGACAGCCGACATTTGTGATGAAAGTAATTAGCCACGTTTTAGTTTTGGTTATGCCTATTCAAAGACAGATGTCGCTGATCGCATAAGTTTGTGGGCACAACGTCAGACTGCAAGCACCTGGCAGCACCGTCGCAGCTGTCAAAACCAAACTTGACAAGTCTGTCGCTGTCAAGAACTATTCAAAATTCAACAGTCGACTAGTTGACACACGATTTTGCTACAATTTCATCACTCATCGCTTTTCTTGGAATTGACTTTTCTCTGTAGTACTTTAAGTTTTATATATTGAATAAAGTAACGTTGTGTTTGTGTTAATTCATTATTCTGCTTGCTTTAAACGAAGGACGTGGTAGCTACGGTGACTATTGGTGACCCCGATTGAAACATGGAAGTTGACGAAGCTACTGATCCGCACGAGGCACCAACTTCTTTCCAAGATGTAGCCTCATCACGTTCACCGCTCAACGCTTTCCCGGACAATGCATACTCCACCGGCAATATTTTAGCTTCCCGCGCCGTGAAACTACCACCGTTTTGGAAAAACAATTGCGCATTGTGGTTTTTGCAAGTAGAAGCTGCTCTTGAAATAGCGCAAATTCGCACTACCTTACGTGGCCGATATTATAACTTCGCCACCAGCGGATGGCAAATACGCAGCACTAAAGAAAAGGCTTATTAGCACATTTGAAGAAACGGTGGAGGCCAAATTACGTCATCTGCTTCGCAACACTACCTATATTGAAGGAAACCCCTCGCAATTCCTTCAGCAGCTTAAAAACTTGGCTTCGGGTAAGGTACCCGATGAAATTTTACGAACGATATTTATGGAGCAGTTGCCCCAGAACGTGCGATGCATTTTGGCAATTAGCGATAGCAGCGATTTAGACTACTTTGCAGTGCAAGCAGACAAAGTATTCGCAATGCCAAACAACATTATGACGATTGATAAAAGCGCAAATGCAACGCAAAGCAGCAACAAACAAACAGCAATCGCTACGTCTGATTTCAACGATTTCAAAGCTGAAATTCAGTCACTTTCTTCAGCCGTGGAACAAGTTAAAGGTGAAGTTAAGCGATATCGTTCTGCAAAATCTGAGAGTGGTTTGTGCTACTATCATACGCGTTTCGGTCGACAAGCTAAAAAGTGTCGGCAGCCGTGCGAATATAACAAAAACAATTTAAATTAGAAAGGCCTTCGGTAATTTTAGTAGGCACAGCTGAAGGTCCATTTACATCTCGCCTACAAATCATAGATACAACAAACCATCTTAAATTTTTAGTAGACACCGGCGCTGATATATCGGTGCTACCAAGGAGAGTTCTTGATAAATTCAATCCAGACACACACAAATCTGGCTTTACACTTTTTGCAGCAAACGGCTCAACTATACGAACATATGGCACCAAAACGCTGTCGTTGGACATCGGTCTCAACCGCACATTTACCTGGCCATTTACTGTTGCCGATGTTGACCACCCGATACTCTGCGCTGACTTTATAAAGCATAAGCTTGTAGATTTACGAAACCGTAGATTACTCGAATCTCAAACAACCGAAACAAAGCTACGAGCAGCATCTTCATCGGTACTAGATAAAACGGCGGTGGCGCAACGATCGACTACAACTACTACCCCTGCGTCGATGGCAACAGCTCAGTCTTCTCAGCTGACTTCAATTACAGCAAACAGCCCGGTCTACGACATTGTTACGGAATTTGAAACATTGACTATGCCAATCAAGCAAAGGTCGCCAAGGCATGGGATCCAGCATCATATCACCACACTTGGTACACCTGTAGCTGAAAGAGCCCGAAGACTGGCAGGTGAAAAGCTAATTGCGGCTAAGAAAGAGTTCGACGCTATGCTCAGGCAGGGTGTTTGTGTTCCGTCAAAAAGTGAATGGCCGAGTCCTTTACATCTCGTTCAGAAAAAGGATGGTAGCTGGCGCGCATGTGGCGACTACCGTCGACTAAACAAAGTCACTGTACCTGATAGGTACCCTATACCACACCTTCGCGACTTTACGTTTTCTCTGCACGGTTGCAAAATATTTACTACACTAGACTTGACTAGGGCGTATTACCAAATCCCCGTTGCACCCGAAGACATTCCGAAAACGGCTGTCATAACGCCATTCGGATTATATGAATTTAAAGTTATGGCGTTTGGGTTATGTAATGCCGCACAGTCATTCCAACGACTTATGGACGCAATTTTCCGGGATTTCGACTTTTGTCATGTATATATAGACGACATTTTGGTGGCATCTTCGACTATCGCAGAGCACAGGAAGCATCTTCGCGAAGTCTTCACACGTCTCTCATTACATGGGCTCTCTATTAATATAAACAAATGTATATTCGCTCAAAAGGAGGTGATCTATTTAGGATATACCATTAATACGACGGGACTGAAACTTACAGCACAACGTATCGAGGCCATTCGTGACTTTCCGAAACCTAAAACCATCGCTGATTTGCGCCGTTTTCTAGGCTCGTGGAATTTTTATAGGTTGAACATTCCTAACGCAGCAGAAATACATGCTCCTCTGGTCGCACTGATTGCAGGGGCCAAGAAGAATGATAAGCGCCCTACCCCTTGGGACGAAGTCACTTCAAGAGCTTTTGAAAAATGCAAAAAGGCCCTCGTAGAGGCGATACAGTTAGCCTATCCCGTACCTGATTCTCTATTGACATTACGCTGCGACGCGTCCAATCAGTCTATTGGCGCTGCACTTGACCAAATAGTAAACGGTATTCATCAACCACTAGGTTTTTATATGAGTAAACTGAGCAAAGCTGAGCGAAATTACAGCGCTTACGATCATGAGCTCCTCGCAATTTTTAAAGGTATAAAATTTTTTAAACATATGATCGAGGGCAGAAATGTCTCGGTACTCACTGACCATCGGCCGCTCTCTTTCGCGCTCATGCAAAAGTCTGACAAGGCATCTCCACGACAGCAACGACAACTGCAGTACATCAGTCAATTCACGAGTACGATAATACATGTCCCAGGCCAGGAAAATGTAGTCGCTGACGCATTATCCCGCAGCAGCACCATAAGTCTACCGATTGAAATTTCGGCAAAAGAGCTAGCAGTTAAGCAAGCTGAAGATGAGGAGTTGCGTTACCTGTTGCAATCAAATACAACTGCCCTCAGAATTAAAAAACTTAAAGTCGACAATGCGTTTGCCGAGATAAATTGCGACGTTTCAACCGGTACGACCAGACCCTATATACCAAAGCCATTTCGACGAAAAATTTTCGACAATGCTCACAACATTTCGCATTCCAATGGACGAGCTACGCTGAAGCTTATTAAACCTCGCTATGTTTGGCCGCATATGAGTCGTGACACGCAAAGATGGGCACGTATATGCCTACAATGCCAAAGGAGTAAAGTCCACCGCCACACGCAAAATGCACCTCAAAGAATCGAAATTCCCAGCGAACGGTTTAAACACGTTCATATTGACATTATTGTTATGCCGTTGTGTGATGGTTATCGATACTGCCTGACGATCATCGATCGCTTCACACGATGGCCGGAGGCAGTACCGCTAAAGAATATCTATGCTGAGACAGTCGTTAACGAGTTTTTCAATGGGTGGATTAGTCGCTTCGGCGCACCTACTACGGTCACGAGCGATAGAGGATCACAGTTCGAGTCCAAATTTTTTGACGCATTTACAAACCTCATCGGCTGGGATCGTATACGAACAACCGCTTATCATCCAGCATCAAATGGCATGATTGAACGATGGCACAGGTCACTGAAAGCATCTATCATAAGTGCAGCCGAAATGCTATATGGTACCACACTTCGACTTCCAGGAGGATTCTTTATAGATGAAGAAGTACGACCGGATCCTCAATACTTCATCGAACCATTCCGTGAGTTCATGAGGGGAATACGGTCCTTGCCCGCTGCACACCATAACAAGTCCCGCGCGTTTGCTCACAGAACATTATACAGATGTTCGCATGTATTTGTACGAGTGGATGAAGTCAAGAAGCCTTTGGAGCAACCTTACCGCGGCCCATATAAAGTGCTGGAGCGAATCAGCGATTACATATTTAAGGTAGACCTTGACGGATGTCCAACAACGATTTCTACTGAACGTCTCAAGCCAGCATTTGTGGAAAATCATGCAAGTAGCATTCCGCAGCAAGACGACAACAGAGTTTACGATTCGGAACCGACACCATCATCAAGTAGCTCAAGATGGCCTAGTAATCTCCGGACGTATCTCAAAGGAAATAGAAACAAATCAACCGTGACTCTTCGTGAAGACTCAAGTCACTCCGGAGGGGCTACTGTGGGCACAACCTCAGACTGCAAGCACCTGGCAGCACCGTCGCAGCTGTCAAAACCAAACTTGACAAGTCTGTCGCTGTCAAGAACTATTCAAAATTCAACAGTCGACTAGTTGACACACGATTTTGCTACAATTTCATCACTCATCGCTTTTCTTGGAATTGACTTTTCTCTGTAGTACTTTAAGTTTTATATATTGAATAAAGTAACGTTGTGTTTGTGTTAATTCATTATTCTGCTTGCTTTGAACGAAGGACGTGGTAGCTACGCCACAAGTTGTTCGAAATCGCCGAAATGTTAGGCCGTCGCTTTATCACATACTGGTTAATGAACTATTATATATACTGGCTGGTTTGGCATTTCACTGCGGAGAACTGGTATAATTATAGTCCATGACGAACTGGTATGACTCTCCCATTTAATACCAGTTTTCGAACTAGAATTTCTACCAACTAGTTTACTTTTTTCTGCGCGGAACTGGTATAATTATGGTTCATAACGAACAGGTATGACTTTTATCCTTAAATAATAGTTCATGAACTGGAATTTGTGCATACTGGTTTAGCTTTTCACTGCAGGGTTCATTTACAACAATGCTGGGCACACCAACACAGTCTCACTTTGACGTGGTATTAGTGCGTCGCGCTCAGTTATGGTTGCCACATTTTTTATAAATGTACTAAAAGTGTTATTTTTCGTGCATGGGTCTATGGGTCTATTTTGCCTATACGTATAGTGGAATAATGAATCTGGTAAGTAATACTATTAGTTTATAGCAACTTTTGCATACGAAAAATTTACTACATGTAAAATTTAAAAAAATTTAAATTGGTAAAATTCATTTGTTTAATAACTGGGCACCGTTTTGTTAGAATCAAATCTTTGAAATGCCAGCCGGCAAGATGGTTACGGTGCTTAGATTTTATTATTTTCATATAAATAGGTATTTAGCCCTAAAAATAGAGTATAACTTATAAATATTATTCACTAAGTATTTCTGGCCATAAACCAGCATTTATATTTTTCTATCGATTCTTTAGATAGAAAGCAATTTTTCTAAAATAAAGTATGCAATTTGTGCCCTTTTTAAAAAAAATCATGGAACTTATTATAAAATTAGTGAACGTTGGTCAGCAAGAAGCCCATTTTATATTTCTTTAAATTCACACGGCATGAAAAATACGGTTTGCTTATATTAAAAATACGTAGGAATGACAGCATAATGGACATTGTGGGTGTTGAAGGTTCTTTGAACTATAAATTGCAGTTCTTATATATGGTCGCACTATTTTGTGTTTGAATCGTAGCAAACTCACGCAAACACCAATCGAAAAATAATGCACCACTTTTTGCTTTGGGCATTTTTTGCCAATTTCCTACACAAAATGTGGCAAGCGTGTGCAAAAATTACGAAGAAAAACAATCAACAGCCAAGCGTGATGTTACCTTGGTGAAATCTCCAAGCAGACTGAATCGAAATTGCTTTGCTTCTGTATACGTATACGAACTGCGGCGCTGGCGTTGCTCGCGAGCAAAAATTGCCCAGCTACACATAAATCCTATTCTGAAACTATAATGTTAACATCAAGTTTCGCCAAGTTTCGCCAAACGTCATTTGCTTAAGGAAAGAGCGATACTGATCGCACCTTCCGTACGGAATCAGCTGTTTGTCCTCGTACGTATGTATGTGCATATGTAACACATGCAGTGTTGCCGCATTGGTATTTTTTTACCGAAATTGGTAATTTTTTTCTTTATTTATCATATTTGGTAACTTGGTACCTTATTTTTCAACTTGGTAACTATTTCAGTTCAGTCCTGCATGTAACACAGGTCAAAAGAAGTTCGTTTCCTCTTACAGAAACAC